AATCTAATGTGGAAACTGAAAGTGAAAGTATCACAGATTATAACGGTCACATTCCTCTCCCTCCCCCTCCCCCACACCCTAAATTCTCCATCTTGTGTTTCGTGTTCATAGCTGCCAGACCATCTCCTCACAAGCCGAGGTGACTTTGAAGGTAAGGATGAATATAACCCGATATATAAGATGGAGTATTACATGAAGTGAGGGGGTCATCCAGATGTGTGATAAGAGATTTGTAGGTTATACTGTCCTTGTATCTCTCTGGATTTGTGTCTGGTAACAGGAAGAGGAACTTTGCTCTTCTTTAGCAGACGTTTACAACTACTGTACATTGAAGACACGTCAGTGATAGTGATTGACACTTTGTAGCTCGTATTTCATCCACGTGCGTGGAGATAACTCGGGTCTGAAATAAGGAAAATGAAAGCTGCTTTAGTCTCATAACGGTTTATGTCTCAGCTGGTTCCTTCACACATTCCAGCACCAGTGCAGGAGAGGAAAAACGCCTTTTTTATTGTTAATGTTTATGAGGACAACTCTGCTCTAAGTTCAGGCACGCAGAATATGTTTTTATTTTTCCTTGAGGCTAGGTTGACACCTGCACTACACCACACCCAGGACACGCGTCCCGAGGGCCACGCGATCGTGTGCTAGTGCACACAGCGATTGCAGCACAGCCCCATTGATTTTCAATGGGGTGACATCCGCACGGCAATCGATTTAAAAAAAAAAAAAAAGACCTTTTTTGCGACGCACGGCTTTTGTTCACTTGGCACACACAGCGCGATCGGTTCACACCTTGGCGACTCCTGACCGCACGTCAATCGCGCACAAAACCGCACGGATTGCCACGCAGTCAGGAGTCGCCTAGGTGTAAACCTAGCCTTACATGTCGCAGCTGCAGCTCAGACATCACACAAAAATAGATGAGATGTTAAAGTGTATTTCTGCTTTTGCAGTATTTACACAGCATAAATCGAAAAATCATGTGATTCACAAAAGATCAACATTTCATGTACTTCTTATAATAATCCACTTATCTTTAGCATATCCAGTCCTTAGTAGCATATACTGTACAGTCCTTAGTAGCTTTCCTCAGTTCCAAGCCTCTCATCACACCTCTGTGTGATACTCACACTGCTCTCCCAGCAGTGCGTCTAACAGGTCCTAGGATCACCGACCTTCCCGACCTCTCCCAGCCTCCCCAGGCTGTTGCACATTTATCCAGCCCGCACCTGAGTCTGCCTGTGTCCATGTGCCTCTTGCACACACAACTCCCCTGAACTCTGGTCCAGACTCCTAATAAGTCAGCTCTCAGCCACCTGATCCAGCTATACTGGTCATTGGCAAAACCTGGACCCGGGACTCGAGGTTCCATCCCACAATATTCGGGAAAACCTGGAAGAAACTGAAAAGCCAGGTTGTGGCATTGCCGCAACCTTCTACAATATATATAAACACATTGAAAAATAAATAGTGTGACTACAATTTAACCACTTCCTGATCTTAAAGTAGTTATGTCAATATCATGGCTGGTGCTGGTGCTGTAGAGCCTCCCGATCACTTACACCAGCCTGTATGTGTGTCACCCCCCCATACCCCTAATCCCCCTCTGGTGCACCCCCTACCATGGTTTCTGGGCTCTCCCACTCCTCCAAAGGGCCTGGGACCACATGTTGTCAGGATGGTGAGTGGGAGCAGACCAAGGAAGTTGATTCCCCAATTTGCTCTTCAAGCACTGAAGCAGTAAGTGTTGTGCTCTCAGCACTTCCTACTTCAGGGCTGTCAGAAATCTGGCTGCCATGATGGGTAAACACACAAGCCTGTGCATGATCATCTGCATTGGACAGGGGGGAGACATCACATCTCCAAAAGGCCTCTGATGTCTTAATAAAGAGAACCTGTCACCTCTCAATGTTCTTATATAGGGTCTTGTTACCACCCTTGTGCTAGCAATAAAGCTTAGTGAAAAAATATAACAAGTGTTAAAAAAAGATTATTATTATTACCATTGTTATTTTTCAGGATATACATAACACCAACAGCTTGCACAGCACCTGACAAAATGGAGGAAGACAGTACAGTTACAATACAATTCCAGTACAATAAGGAGGGCCCTGCTCATGGGAGCTTACAATCTAGTAGGAGGGGCAAGTGATACAAAAGGTAATAATTGTGTGGGTAGAGCTAATGGAAGAAGTAAAAGGACAGTTAGTTATTATGTTGAGGCTTCCATGAAGAGATGAGGTTTCAAGGATCGCCTAAAGGCAGAATAGGAGATAAACGGACAGATTGGGGTAGGGAATTCCAGAGGATGGGAGACACTCTGGAGAAGTCCTGAAGGTGAGCATGGGAGAAGGTGATGAGAGATCTGGAAAGCAGGAGGTGTTGAGAGGAGCGGAGAGGACGGTTTGGGTGATATTTTGAGATTAGGTCAGTGATGTAGGTTGGAGTAGAGCTGTAGACGGCTTTGTATGTAGTTGTTAGTATTTTGAATTTTATTCGTTGGGCAGTACTAAAAAAAAAAAAAAAATGAAAGCAACCCATCTGCATGCATATACAAATGTGTGCATAGGACATGCATGTGTATGTAAACAGTGATTGCACCACATGTGTTAGGTATTGCTGTGAACATCGGAGTGAGAACAATAATTCTAGAGCCATAATTCACTATTTGTGCAACCAAATCATGCAAATTAGAAAACACAGCTCCTTTTTTTTATTCTACAGGGCCTCTGCTGTCAGAAAATATTGAATTGTTTGGAGGTTTAACCTTTTCGCTGCCAGGGCCGTTTTTGCATGCAAGTTATAATCCATGGTAAGTGCGTTGTGTAGTACTGTGTGTTAATCACACGGAACCATGAGATTAACGCATGGCCCTGGTGTGAACAGGCCCTGAATAATCTGCGGGGCCTTTTGTAAGATTGCCTCAATCCGAGCCAGGGGGTCTTGTTGTGACGGCTTTGAGGTTGGATCAGTAGAAGAGGTCTCACCGTCAGCAACACTCATACTCTGTAGTAGAGGAACTGGAACATGAGGTAGATCTGAGGAGACAATTTCACCAGTGGCCAGCTTGGATGAGGCCTAGATTTTTCCCAGGCCCCAGAGAAGGCTGTATTTCCTGTCACTGTGTGATTGTCAAGGATGTACAGCAAAGTGTGGATGGGATGTCAGAGAAGAGCTTGGGCTGCCATCAACTCAAAGGATGTGCAGAGCTGTAACAAGACATGTCTTCCATGCTGAGGCACATGCACCCCAACAAATACTTTTTCACATACATTCCATAGATTCCTTCTGGTTATCTTCTCGCATCCGTTTCCTTACTCTGGATCCGAAAGATCAGGTGAAGCAACGATCCTTCCTTCCCCTCCGGTTAACCCCTCATGTACTGGGTAGATGCAATATCCGTCCACCGGGGTTTATCCAGATGGCAGGGGGAAATTTTTAACGAAGAGAGGGAAAACTCCTAAGTGCAGCAATTAAAACATTTATTGTACACAAAGTAAATTCGGCACTTACAAGATTCAAAGAATAAAAACGTTTAAATGGCAAAACACTCTGCCGTATAAGCACAATGATGTGTGAGAGACGGAGCCAATACTGTCCTTTATCCACAAAGGATAAAGGACAGTATTGGCTCCGTCGTCTCTCACACATCATGGTAAAGGAAACAGATGAGAAAAGATAACCAGAAGGAATCGGAGAAGGGACCCTCTCAAAAGTCACTTCTTCAGTGGATCCCATGATAAAATCAGGACAGATAAGTACTACTATCCCTGACAAGATATTTGAGTCGGTGCGACTGTGGTTGGTCAATTGACTTACAGCGACATTAGGATTGACCTATGTGAGGATTTACTAACAGTGTCAGGACATATAAAGGACTTGCTGATTTTTGCTCATTGGTTTGGAAATCCCGCTTTGGAAATCCCGCGATCGTACGGTAATCGCAAAGTGTATGGAAGGTGTGCAACCATTTTTACTGTACGGTCGCACGTCTTTTGTCTAAGGAGCATGCTAGAAAACCAGCCGAGTATCTTACGATTTTCGGCTGGTTTTTAGCATGATCATAAGATAAATGCCGCACGGGCCCGTTCAGCATTGCGGTCATCGGAAAGCCCGCCCCTCAGGGGGGCGGGCTTGCGATGATCGCAAGTACGATCTGCCTGTCCAAGATGGGCAAATCATACGTTTTTTTTAATTACTTTACAACCCTCGCAAGACTAAGGTCTTGCGAGGGTTGTAAAGTGTATGGCCACCTTAAGACCAACTCCCCTTGGAGATTTCTGGCAGGTAGATCAAAGCATTTAACAGCTGAGTGGTATAAGAGGAAAGTCCCCTCTCATTTGGTTTCCATATTAGATCGTTTTTTATATTGTTTGCCATATTGTTTATATGATCGTTTTTTATATTGTTATATTCACAAGCTTATAAGCTGTATAGAAGATCTTATTACAAGTTTACACTACAACTGTCCCAAACACTAGTGCCATTTTTACCTCCAAAGGATTGGGGGAAACAACACTGAGTCACATTTGTTACTAATAGTTTTTATTAACACAAGAGAAGATTTTCACAGTAAGAGTTCACACAGGCTTTTTGGAAATAATTTATTTACAGAAGGAATCACTGTATCAATTCATTTATTAACCCACAATGTAAGAGAACATATGTAACAGCTCACGGTCACTTATTAACCCCTTCGTGACGGGAGACGTACAGTGTACGTCCCGTCACAAAGTGCCTATATGATTGGCCACATACACTGTACGTGACGAGTTATATCAGGCTTTGTAATGCCGGTAACCGCTGATTCTCAGCAGTTACCAGTCATTAATGAATGCCTCAGTATTGAGGCATTAATTAAATTAAATAATTAAGCTTTTTATAAAAGCGTCTTCCTTTCATTAATGAAAGAATGAAGCAGTTACATGCAAATACAGGACCGCAATTTGTGATCTTGTATTTGACAGCTGAAAATAGCAGAGAGGTAGCAGTGACTCATCTCTCTGCTATTTGTTTTGACAGCTGGAGAGCCTGATGTTTACATACATTTCACTCAAAAGATACAATGTATATATTTTGAGTGAAATGTATCAGTTCTGATCGTCTGAGCACGATCAAAGAGCTTTTAGTGAGATCTGAATCTGACTAAAGTCAGGATCAGTCTCTAAGGTTATTATTAGCTGTTCCTAAGTTTGGAGCAGCCTTATAATAGCCAAAAATTTTAAAAAAGTTAATTTATATTTCTCTTAGCACAACTTCTTGTTATCTTGGTCAGCCGAACATGCTCTGCACGTTTGGCTGAGCCGAAGTGCAGAAGGACTTCGACTTAGCCGATCCAAAATCTAGATGGGCTGAGCCGAAGCTCCGACAGCTCACTCGCTGCTGTTCGCCCCTATTCTCATAGGGGTCAAACGGCAGTGAGTGAATAACCGAATGCAGTGCATTGTGCACCTTCCCCTGGCATAAAATAATGAATGGCAAATACCCCACCCCCCAATTCAATAAAGGTGTGCGTTGGGCAGCAATCAGCCCTCCCCCTTCCCAGCCGAAAGTAATTAGTGACAGGTTGCTACTGAGGCCTGGTTCACATCTTGGCGGCCTGGGACCACGTGCCCTCAAACTGTGAGAGCTCAGATCACTCAGATGTGAACCGGGCCTAATTATACCTACACTAAAGCTTGGAAGTTTAATGGTTAACAATGTTGCCACCAATAAAGGTGGGGTTAAATATAACCCTTTCTCCATAGCTTCTTTGGTGGCTGCAGTGTTAACAATTATACCACCCCACATGTTTAAGTGAATACATGGATTGTACTCAGTGGACACTGAACTGCCTTATCACTGCAACATTAATCACCCTCCAGGTCGGGTTACAATACTCAGGGGCGTATCTGCCGTGAGGCAAACAAGGCGTTTGCCTGGAGCGTTGCTGCCTTGCCTAGGGCAGCAGCAAAGGTAAATACACCGCTGACAATACTTCTTGCAGCTGCCCGATGTGATGGAGAGAGCTCAGCGTGTAGATCAGCCCGGCTCACCTCAGTATGCTGTTTGCATGAAGGAGGAATGTCCATGAACACCTGCCGTTGATCAGGAAGAGCTGAGCACTATCCAGCTCACGCTGACAGGAAGGAGGGGAGGGGTCATGTACCCAGCAGCTGCTCTGTGATACAACTGATGGGTCGGAAGACAGCAGAAGAAGAACTTATTGTACAAGTTCTCTAGTCCTCACCGGGCCCCCCTTGGCTCGGGTCCCCTAGCGGCCGCGTGGGTTGCTATGGCGGTAGTTCCGCCACTGGTTACATACTGTAGTTGTTATGGTTGAATAAAGACACAGGTTAGTAAGATTACCTTTACCTCTGTATGTCTTGCTCTCTGAGAAAAGTATCTAGACCAGGGGTCTCAAACTTCATTCACTCGGCGGGCCACTGGACATATTTTTTTCTCCCATGGGGGCCGCTTGTCAAATGTCATACTTCATCGAGCGCCAACAATCATCCCACGTTCAAAGGCTGTTAAATCGCGTTGTTTACCCATATCTTCAGAAACAAATCACTTCTACTGTCGTGTTAAACAACCTGCTTCCCTATTTATAATGGTCCGGCCCTCTAGCAACTTCAGCGCGAAATTATAGCTAATTTGCCATCAAACGTCAGGTGGTCATAATAATCGGGCCACTCAGTGTATATTAAACACATCTTGATGTGTACAGGACGCCGGGGCTGGGTCCTGGAAGGAAGCTAGATTTCCCCTCTGTTTGGGCTGTGGTCCCTTTAACCCCTTCGTGACGGGAGACGTACAGTGTACGTCCCGTCACAAAGTGGCTATATGACTGGCCACGTACACTGTACGTGCCGAGTTATATTAGCCTCTACCAGTCATGAAGGGGTTAAGGTACAAAGCAGGGTTAACTCACCAGCTGGAGGATGTCTGTTTAAAATACAGGAAGTGGTAGATAGCATGGGTGAGGAGGAGGGTAGAGGAGGCTGGAGACTGAAATTGTGTATTGCTGGGAAAGTGCATGTCAGTATCCTTTGTGCAACCCTGTTGACTGTTTAACTGCGATTGCAGTTTTGAAACCTTCAAGTCGTGAGACTGTTATTCTTTGTTATGTTGAATTGCTGTTTAGTTTTCAAGCTAGTCGATGAAGATGAACTGTTATGTTATTTTGCTTCTGTGAAACTATTTAAGTTAATAATATTTACTTTATTTGAAAAGCCTATGTCCTGTGATCCTGCTGGATTCCCCTAACATCCAGGCCCGGATTCCCCACAAGGCCACCGAGGCCCGTCCTCGGGGCGGCAGGGCGCAGAAGGGCGGCAGCGGTGTCCTTGTGGGGAAGTTGCCCTCTCTACATTCAGTCCTGCTTGAACAAGCAGGACTAAATGTAGAGTGAGGCAGCCGATTTTTCGTTTACATGTGAACTCGGCGATGTCGCAATCCGTCCGTCTTCCCCTCCCCCTGCACTTACCTCTCTCCCTAGGTTCCGTCCTCCGCCGCCGAGTCCCGAGTCTCTGACTGCAGGGAGCAGAGCGGCGCGGTTATAAGTAACCCTGCCGCTCCGTGTAGACAGTGAGAGGGGAGAGCTGTGCTCTTCCTCTCTCACCTGTCACAGGAGTTCCAGTACAGTGCTGTGCTAAAACTCCTGTATTGGAGGTGACAGGGTCAATAAAGAGAACCTGTCACCTCCAATTGCTATCACACAGGGGATTGTTTTCTCATGTGTGATAGCAATAAAGTTAGGTGGAAAAAAAATTAAATTGATTAAAAAAAATGTTTTAATAAATAAAAATTAAACAAAATAATATTAA